ATCTTGTTTTTAGGAAAACCTGCTTCATTTGTGATAAACGAGCCAAAATGTAAAATAATATAATTTATGGTGCCCACTTATTTTCTGTAGGCTTTTCAAAATGCTTGCAGTCTTTCTTTGGGCAAGTGTATTGGAGTTTTTGGGTTTTAGTTTTAAGCTGGACTCACCCGTGAAAGAACAGTGACCGGTGTGATTTCCTTCTTCTAAGTGTATTGAGAGCATGCTTTTTTCCCCCACATTGTTTCCTGTGCAAGTATAAATTAGGAAATAACCAACTGGTAAAAACCTGGATGTCAGAAATAACACTTCTGATGGCAGCTATGGTTTGTCAGCTGTGGTTGTGGATCATGAGGGTTATCTAGCACCTTAGTGCCTCCTAGCATTGAATTCATAGGCTGCTTGATCCTGTCCTTGTTAGGCTTTACAGTCTGGTTGTGGGCTTGTGTTCCAGTGTGAAGTTCAGTTGTTCAGGTAGGAGCATCTAACTGGGAGCTGACTGTGATGTAACCAATACTTTTTCCTAAGTTTGTATGGGTCTAGTTGAAGTACAACCCTTGATGTTAACCCCAAACTCTTGATGTGTATGATCAAGCCTAAATCGCCAACAAAAGTGCTGGTTTGCTACTTAGGCTTGGCTATTTTGTCTCTTCCCTATCTCCCATTCTTAAATGCAAGACTGTCTTTGAAAGAGGGAATTTCAGTCATGAAGAAGTTAATGTAAGAAGGTACTGATTACACAGTGTCCTGTGTTTTATATTAACTTTCATTTTATTTGCAATGCCTCTGACTTCTGGGAGAGATTTCACCTTAAAACAAAAACAAACCCCTGTAACTTTTCTAAAAAGAAGCCAGTGTTTTGAAAATACAGAAGCAATAAATTATCAGTAGTAATAAGTTATCGTTGTATGTAAATTCCAGTGCATGCAATATTTTTTTTCAAATTGATACTGAAAATATCTTGTTACTAGCAGATGCATTTTTAAATTCATCTAATGAGTTTGGAAATTTAATAAGAATGTTCCACTGTTGGGATTAAGTATTTCTGCAGGTAGTTAGAGGAAGGTAAAATACTGTTATATTTTCTGTGGTAGTCAACTTAATGCTTATAAAAAAGTGACAGCATTAGTCTTGGAAACTGTTTTTATAGGTTAAAAAAAATGACAGCAAAATCAGTGGCAACCTGAGGTAGCCTGTGTTGTCATGTTGGCCTTACCCTGGGAAAGGCTGTGCTTTCTGAAGAAAATACTTGAGTGCAGAAATGGAACTATAATTCCTTAATAAATATGTTGTTCTTGACAGTCTCAGGACAAAATGGATCATGTGGCTCACAGGCTGCATGATTGTGTTGTAAATATTCCGTGATTTATGAGGCTGGAAGTAGGGATGCCACCTGATGCTCCTACTATGGAAGCTGTGGTGCCTTATCAGGTCCTTGTAATTGCAACAGCAAGATTGGATAAACCAAAGCCCCTTTGCTTTCTCCATGCTAAATGTTTAATTTACTCTTCTTCTCTCCCAGCTAACCCTCAAAGAATGGGGGCTGGTCTTGGATGGCTCCAATTACTCCTGTTTAGGTCAGCCTTTGAATTGAGGTGGTGGGGGGGAGTTGATAGACGCTATTTATGTGGTTGGGAGTGTGGATGAGTTAATGAAATTTCATCAGGTGTATCGGGCATAATGAAACTCCCCAGCTGAATCTGAAACTGCCCTAGAAGTGAAGGTTATGACTCCCATTGACAGTCTCTTGGACTGTTCAACTCCTTTAATTGTTTATTACTAAACCCATCCTAAATGGGTGTATATTGTTTAATCTGCCTTGAAATGTGAATTGCAAGTCAAGGCCTTTGAGTAATATAGTGAGAAGTTGTGTGAATTTATTGCATCTTCCATAAGTGCTTCCTAAACTTTGGTAAACTGCTAATCGGTAGCTTGTTCCAGCAGTCAGTTGTCTGGTGATGGGCAGCAGAACTGCCGGTGCTTCCTGCCACTGTGCAGGTAGGGGATGTGCTCCTTTCTGCAAGTCAGAAAGAATTCTGTGACAATGCTAGTGTTAGTAAAGTATTTACAGAGTATTATACATGGAGAAACTTAAAGGCATATATCCTGGCCTGAGGAATTAAGTTTGTTTTTCCTGTGTGTTTATATATGCATGTTGTAAATTATATAAATGAAAGTTGATTTTCTGAGTTCGAATAGGAAAAGTACGTGATCAACAAATAAACACCTGGAGCTTGCACACAGGACAGTACATAAAAAAATACAAAGCTAGAAAAGACAAAGGAGAGCTTCTGATCAGAAGATGAAGAGCAGTGTGAGAAATACGGAAATATGCCTCTAGTAATGGTAATATGCTTGACAAGCAGATCTGAAAGGTAGAACACATTGGTATTTCTGACTTCTGCTGCAGCTCCTCAAATTCAGTGTTGCTTTTAATTTTACTATCTGTACATCTAATTCTTTATGAAAAAAAGATTTTTACTCTTATGAGACCAATACCTGTAGACATGTAACTGCAAACCTATTTACACATATTTTAAAATCCTCGTAGAAATAAAATGAGAGACTATAATGCAGCAAAACACAGAGAAAGCTGTATCGTATGCTTTGAAGATGCAAGACAATTTGTCCAGCTGTAGTTGGGCAACCTATAAGAGTGAATGAAAAAATTGTTTTGAATGATTTTGCAGAACATCTTAAATAGATGATTAAAAACAAAATCATACTGGAATACTGGATGCAGGTACATTCATATTAATTCTAGTGATTGAGAAAGTTACTTATAAATCTTTCCCGATATTCCCCAAACAGTCCTGTAAGTCTGTAGTTAATTATTCAGAATTAGAGGAAAAAGTTTGGAGTTGCCTAGTGTGAGTCTCCAGTTCTGTGTGGGATTACTCATTTGAAAAAAAAAAAAAGCATAATAGACAGGAGAAGGTTTTCTTGTCATAAAACTGTAACTATTTTTCCTGTAAAACAATACAACTGAATTGAGCAGTGTTTCACTCATATGGCTATCTAGTAAAGCTCTTATAAAATACTTAGAAAGTTGAAAAAGGACTCTGTAGTTTTAATATTTAGACTGCGAGCCAAACATTTGAAAATGTACAGTCATGCCTGCAGCAGATTGTGGGTCTACCTGTTCTATTTACTAGGCTCTGATGCGAACACTTTTGATGAGGAGCATTGGCCAAAAACGGCAGGCTGTATCAGGGACTATAGGAGGGTTCATAGTGACACAACAGATAGTCTTATTTCTCCGTCTTTAATACCATCTTGATCGTTAGTAGGCTGAACTGGTAAAACACTCAAGACACGACCCAAAGCTAAAAATCTTTGTTTCCTACTTTGTTGGAGCAGCCAGCTTTGCACACACAGTGTCGGTTCACAGTTACCCACGTTACAGAGGTTTTAACACTTGTACAATCCTCATGTTCACGGCTAAAGGGCTTGAAGTGCTCTAGTCCTGTAGCTGGATGTCCTCTGGCATGGTCACAGGCTTTGAAACAGATCAGGAGTGTTTATTAAAGCATAGTGTGGGCAAAGCAAAAGAGGAGGTAGAGCAAAAGGGACTTCCTGCAAAGGCAAGACTAGCGATGGTAAAGTGCAACCAAGAGGAATCACATAAAACTTAGGAAAGTGTCTTGGTATTAGTTTCTGTTTTAGTCTCTCTTCGCACAGTGTATCCATTCAACAGACAAAATGTAATTAGAGGGGCTCTCTGATCTCGTACATTGTTACAGAGAAGAGCTTTGCTTCTACAAAGGGTTGTGTACTTCAGTGAGCACGCTCTTCTGTTCAGCGCAAACATTGGAAATTCTCACTAATTCAGGATACAAATGGAAAGCTAATCGAGGAAAATTAAGGGACACCTAACCTATGACAGTATCATATATGCCTCAGGCTTTCTAACACCTTATTTTGAAGCATTCCAATGGGGCTGTAAAGGGAAACAAGAAACTTGATTAAAGAGACCCATGGTGTGATTTGGCAAAGTGGTTGCTGTGTATTCTGCAGCATCAAAATGGAAATGTTTTCATATTCTTTTCACCTTTGTGATTCAGTTATGGATTTCAGCAAAACTTAAAGCCAGTTCTGTGACAGTTACCTTATAGCATGCCTGCAACTTTCTTGGAATTTCTGGTTTTCCAGTCCAATAGCATATTTAAAGAATTAACATAACGGAAGAAAGATGACCATTGCACTCTCCCAGTCTGAAACTGAATGTACTGATTTTCCTTATTGTACAGTGTGTGTTTGTGTGTGTATGTATGCATAGGTCTATGTCTGTATTCAAGCTTGGAAGGCAGGATTAATATCTTTGTCCTTTGAACAGGCAACTGGACATCACCTACGTGTATTGAATCACAGAATCATGTTGATTAAAAAAACCAACCAAACAGCCATTTTGATTCAAATATGGAATAAAATTAGAAGAGGCATTTTCAGAGTTAATAGACTAACTGCACTCTTGATCCACTTCCGAGCTTATTCAGTGTCGCCCTTGTACTCTTGTCATATCTCTTGGTATAGAATCATGAAATTTACTGTCCTACCTATGGCCTCCGTATGGTCTGTTATGTAATAACTGCAATTACCTCACCAAGGCTGACCTTATATTCAACACCTGTGATTTTCTTCTCTTTCGGAGCAATGACAGGCGTACTCAACAACCAAACTTCTTAAAGTAAGGTATTTGTTTAGAGCAATCTGAACAAAAGCATCTGAAAACAGCAAAAGCTGTTTATATATGTAATCTTTTTTCTGCCTAGGAATGTATAACTCCCCTAATGCTTATCTGGTAAAACAAGCTCCCGATTCCTCCAAAATCTTTCATCACTGTGTGTCCCTGGATAGCCCCCTGGCAAATGACACAAGCTTATCCAAAAAAGATAGTTTTTTCTTCCCTTTTGGCAGCCCAAGTGAACTGAAGATGCTTTCGTGCCCCAAAGGTTTATCCTTTTTTGTTTGCCTTTTGTTTGTTTGTTATTCTCCAGGTCTATTGATTTGGTGAGTGATAGTACTTATAGGTTTGGCCTCATAGGGTACTGTGGCTGGAGTCCAGAGCAGCACCTTCTGTTGGTGAGAGAACCTCATAGTCTGATTCCCTGGTTTGGGGAAATTCTGAAAGCAGCATGAAAAACAGAATGAAGTACATGGTACTGTTCTGTTTTCTCACCTGATGGTCCTCTCCTAGCTGATTCCTTGGAATGTGTATTGCCAAAATGATGTGTTTGCACGTTGACAATTAACTTTACTATGGTCGTTTCTGAAAGGCGTGTTATATGATGTAGTGTACTGAGCGCGGTAGAAGTACATCAAATGGGTACAGAACTTGTGCTTTGGGAAAGATGAGGTTAATGTGCTTGTTGCAGGGCACTGGGTAATGTGAAGGAGTGGGACCTGTGCGCTTAAGCTAGCAGCAGATACTTTAGCTAAACATAAACATTCGAAGAGGACAGGCCAGATGCTCCACTTTTTGAAACAATATATAAACCGTCTTAAGTATCGAGGTTTTGTTTGAACCTTATGGCTGTAAGGATCATAAGATAAAAAAACAGTGCATCCTACACTAATATATGATGTGCCTGACTACCAAGAGGTGCTCCTTGGACCAGGCTTCTGATCTCCTCTTCCTTCAACCCACTGTTTAGCATAGGAAGCTTCCCAGCATATCTCTGCATGTTTTTTCATTCAACATGTAAAAGCGAGAAATTAATTCTGTGAATTGGTAGAAAAGATCATAAGATTCAGTGATGTGATTTAAGCTGAGAGTTACACTGTGATGTTCCTTCAGTGAAGATGTTGAGATGTCCTTACACAGTAGTCAGGGTTTCTTTCCTTTACATTCAAAGTTTCAAATTCAGTAATCTTGTGATTTTCCAGCCCACAGATGCTCTGACTCTAATATTCTGTGTTTGTATTTAGAGTCCAAGAATGTCACTCTCTGAAGTGGTTGGGATATGAGTATTTCCTAGTGGCAGAATTATCTTTTTTTTTTTTTTTTAATGTCACACAGTTTGTAAAATAAACTAAATTTCAGTGATCTCTTGGGCATTCATGTAAGTGATGTTTTACTACAGTGTCTGCTGGAGGTCAGCAGACTTGTACGAGTATTCTCTTTCTTTTCTGAATTTCTATCTCTCCAAGTAAGTGGAGACGTTAGTGTACAGAAGCATTCTACCCTTCTTTTGGATGCTGTGTGGAAGGAAGTACTTGAGATGGTTGTAAAAAATCAAAACCCTTTCGAGTGTCTCTAGTGCAGTATGACCCAACGCGATGTACAAGTTTCAATTATGTGATTATGAAATGGAAGATTGTGTGATAAGCTTTAGCAAGATCATTTCTCTTTATGCCGTTCCTCCAGTGTTTTAAGAATTTTCCATCCAAAATGAAGTAATGTGATACCATTGTAGATTATTTGCTGGTTTAGTTGTCCTAAACCATCATGGTTGCTGTGTTTCTTCTACAGTTGACGTGAGCCCCTTCTGCTGGCCTTCTTTAATGAGCAGAAGTGCGGAAGGCTGTTAAGTATGGGTGGATTGTTCTTGCTTTTCAATACCCTGCCTGCTCACAAAAACGAAACAACTGAATGATGTGCATGTGTCTACCTGCAAACCAAAGCAAAGCTGGCTCATCTCGTTCTGGGTTTGCTCATTTGACTACGTCACCTTAAATCTGAAAAATAAGGAAGAAATTAAGAATACAGCCCCGGTCTGGAAATCTTGCTGCCGAAGAGGTTAATTTAAAATACCTATAGCCTTTCAGTTCCTGCTGTAGGTGTTCGCAGGCTTTTAGGGGAGCATCCCACTTGTGGGGGAGAGTTAACCTCCGCAGAAGGCTCCAGGAGCAATCATTTACTTGTTTTCATCATTCACCATTCTCTGAAGACCTTCAAGTGCCACAGGTCATCCTTCAGGGCAGCAGTACTGTGTGTATTACAAAACTGTTGTGGTAACCGTTTCAGATTGACGCCGGGGGCAGGAACTGTGTGTTCGGTGGTGCAGGGAGCGGGGAATTGCTGTTTTCCTCTCACCAGGACTTCATGGTTGGGTTTGCATCCCCCGTCCCCCACCCCACCCCTCCTTCCAGTGTGTACTGTGTGTTGATAGGGGTGAGTCACCTCTTTTATTATGTTTTGAATACTTTTCCTCCCAAATGTAGTTTATTTTGTACAGGGAAGGGAAAGAATTTATGCTGTCCTGGTTCCTTATTTTTATCAGAGCTCTGCTAACAACTTCCAGCTGAGGGAGTTCTTGATATTTTTAGCCTGAGATATTTAGCTATTTGAGCCTCTTTACATGTTTTCCCCCGGTATATATTAACTGGGGGGGTGGGGGGAGAGAGAGAAGTGGTTCTTGTCAGTTAATATATTCAGGAGCGTGCTTGCCAAATTGCCTGTACTTATTCCCAGGAATCTGAACACTTCAAAATTGGGGGGAAGTTTGAGTCCTGGTCTGAAGTATTTGAATCAGCCTCATTACCCCATTCTCTGACTGATGCTGCTGTAGCTATGTTCCCACTGAATCTTCCTCTCTATTTTAAGAGGTGGTGTTTAGTATTAAAAAAATGTGTGTATTGATATTCTGCTTAAAAACACTGAGAAGTAAATAAATTAAAAAGAGCAGAGAACCATGAAATGGGAACTTGCCCTACAAAATACAAATTCTCTGAAATTCTCTTTGTTCCTCTTTTTTCCAAGTGTCTTTTAAGCAGCAGAATCCTCTGTCTTACTACTAATATTACTGTTTTATTGATTGCCTGGCTTATGATCTGATGAAGTTGTTTAATATTCCAAATGTTGAACTTGCTGGCACGTCTTGTACACGCAGTGTTTTCAAGTTTCTGAATAACCTTACCCTTCCATGAACTTTACATGAAAGTTACTTTGAAAGAAAATATTAAAAATACTTCATATTGACCTTTTGCCTTTAAGAACCTCTTTAATGTGTTTAACCATGATTTCACAGATCTTACTATCATCAGTTCTTTTCCCTTTTCCTAACAAAGTTTCAGACTAAAGCTGTCTTGTTGCTTTAGCAGGGCTGTTTCTGTGTACTGAAAACAATAATCTGTCTGAACAGTAGTTCTGTTTAGGTCACTGGACTAACAACTTCTTTAGGCAAATGATTCCTCCAAATTCCTTTGAGAATATTATTGTTACTGTTAAACTTATTGGTTATACATAGATTTGCCTCAGTGAAATGTAGTGATTCCAGCAAATACTCCAGAGGTGTCTCTGTAAGCCTGGGGCAGTGGGGGTGAGAGGGGCAGATGGTGGAAATCATGCTCAGTTTAAAATGAGAATTAAATGGTGTTTGCTGTTGCATATAAATTGTCCATATTACCTTTTTCTTGTTATCCCGTCCGAGATGTTTGTTTATATATGGCAATATATTACATTGCTCTTCTCCTGTCCACTTAGCTATCTGATAAAATTCTGCAGAGTGGGTCGATGACTTTGTGCTGCCTATGCAGGGTCTTTGACTTGAGTCCTCTGGTTGTCAGTCTGGTCTGTGGCATAAGTTAGAGCTGCTTGAAGGCTGTCAACAATGACCAGGATATATCCTAGTAATTGGGACCAGCTGGATACAAGTATGTATTGGCATGTCTACAGCAGCTCTATGTAACCTGTTACAGCAGCTCTTCACCACCCAATTATTCCTTTAGGGACCTCAAACCTTCCAGTAGTCATTTGCAAAGCTGAAGCCTTAAATCTGGCACCTAAAATAGTAGTGTGGTTTGGTCTGGGTTTGTTGGTTTTTTTGGGTTTTTTTTTTAGTATTTGTTTAATCCTAGCTCCTGCTCCTCCCTGAGGTTGGGCAGTCACCACTCCCTACTTAGACATAAATCTCTGTTTGAGGATCCAATTTAATACATGTACACCGTTTTTTTTATTTTTTTCAAAGCACTTAGGAGAATCTTTGTGTCTATACTTATTAGGCACTGTGGAGTTTTTTTACTTGGTAAGTGCAACCTTTTTAGAAACTTGCCGTTCTCAAGCTGTTAGTTGTGGGGCCTTTTAAAGGCAGAGGTTCCATGTTGTATGTACCCCTAAGTATCAGTGGCTTTTTGTGCATTTTTGCATGGAGCTTTCAAAACGTAATTTTAGGTAAGCTGCTGCTGTTTTGCACTGTCAGTCTCTGTGCTCCAAGGTGACTGATGCTGCTGAAAAGTTGTGGAGCAACACTACCGCTCAAGTATGTTGTCTGGTCTGTGTTGGGGCTTCTCAGTGGAACTGCCAGATTAACCGAATACTAATCTTAAGCTTCTTAACACTTAGTGAGAACAGTCAAAATTTCATTAGTTTTAATTGTTTTGTAACAGGCTAATATAATTACACTGTTGGCATCTTGGTTGGGAATTTCTTGACTTTTTTTCTTTGTAAATCCAGGCCTAATAATGTTTTTTATTTTGCTGACTGAATTTCCTGTGCAACTCCTTTTAAACGGCCATGTGAATTGCAGGGACCCTAAATAAACTGAGCAGCTGACTCATTATTTTTGCCATTTGTATAACTAGTTTTTCCATTGGTACTGCTTGAACATGAAAAGCAATACAGTAAAATACTTGCAGGAAAGGAAGATGTTAGCTGCACTGAGTGACTTCAGCTTCAACTCGGTGTTGAAACAAGAAGTTTCATAGTCTTGTTTCAAGCTTGTATTTGAAGTCTCCTATTCTAATAATGACCAGGCCAACTCTTGCTTTGCTTATGAGATCTGACAAGATCCTGTCCATGTGATTTCATTTGTTGCATTCATGGCAGCCCTGGGGAGTGAAATAACTGGAGCAGGAATGAAGGTGTGCTTTCCTGCACAACACAACAGAGCTCTGTAGCAACTTGGCCACTCGAAAAACAGCAGAGATTTTAAATAGATAAATAGATTCAGTTTTGTCTCTGTGTATATGTATTTATGTAAAACGCATAGTCACATGCAAGCATCAGCCTAACCCATTAGCCCATGTAGAATAAATGGGAGATAATCACCCATCCTGGTACCAGGCAGGTCAAGCTGAACTGAAGTCTGGGGAACTGGAGTGCTTTGTAAAACCAGTCATTGCCAAGTATGTTTTGTTAATATTCAGTTCAGCTTACTGGGCTTGAAGTTTAGTCCTGATGTTGTAAAGTTTGTACCTACCCATAGAAAAGTT